GTAAATGGTTGGATTTATTTTATTGGCCAAGCTTAAAGTTCAGATTTTCTCGAACTTTGTGACACGCGTAAGCTATTAGATTTCACATCTGAAGGTTATAAATAATTGTAATATCTATGTATCAAAAGTAAATGGTCTCATTGTATACAATCCCTATATATATATAGGCTAATGTTAGGGTGTTCATACTATAGAGCATTTTATTATTGTACTCAATAAAATCTGTACATTTATATTATCCTTGTTTTGTAATGCAATATTTTTTAGTAAGGGTATTTTTGGTCATTAGGATGGGTAGAAAAAGTATTTCTATAAGAAACTATATATAGAAACTAGTGGCATTTAATACTCCATGTGGGTGATGTCAAACCCCATGTTGATAATGTCATGCCCTTCATAATGACCAAAAATACCCTTACTAAAAAATATTGTATTCAGAACTAGGTATAGAGATGTCTAGAATTTGTTGAGTACAATTATAAAGTGCTCTATAGTGTGAATACTTTAACATATACCTCTCTCTCTCTCTAATATTAATATATATATATATATATATATTAGGCTGAACTGGCCGAGAAAGGTTTTTTCTACCTTATCAGATTTGGCTTTTGAAAAATGCCACAGATATTGATTTCTCTTTTGGCTCTATAAACTGAGATGAAACCGATAAAATACTTTTTGATACAGAAAACTACTGTACAAAAAATCTTGAGATCATAAAAAATGAAGCTCAACAGACAAAAAATTTACTTTAAAATTTATGAAAGTTGGTTCAGTGTTACGGATGATAGAAGACTGTTCATAACAAATTTTGAAGTATCCTATGAACAAATTTTGAAGTATCCTACAAAAGAACTAAACAGTTGGTAGAAGTCCAAGAGTTCCTGGACAATTGCATAAAACACCAATTGGACGTCTCAAAATATCTAATTCCTTTTGATGAACTAGAAGGACCAGATAATCCAGTGCCGAGTTTCAGCTTCGACAGTATAGCTGAAGCCAACATGCAAAATATGATGGAAGACTTATACACAGAAGCAATATGGGACCCGAGGCAAGAATAAACCAGTAGTTTTCAGATAAAGAAGATCGAAAGAAAAGATTTTCTTATATAAAATATATGCATATACTAAATGCCTATGCAAAAAAGTCTGCTTTGCAATAAATGCTAAGCTACGAGTTTTTTGCACTATACTATTCAACAGAAGGAATCTTTTTTCATGTACCCTTTGAAGTCCACTATGCAAGTGAGACTTACCGTATCAGATAACTTTCACGTGAATGTACTCGAAAGACAGTTGTCGGTCATTTTTGGTGAAGCCACGTACTGGCTATAGTGAGGGCAGTTGGATGACTCATCAAACGATTATTGTTGGCTACAGTGTTTGGTTAGGTGACTCATCAAAAATTTATGAATAGTATTTCTAATGGAATAATGTTTTTACTATTCATATGGACTCGGGTGCTGAATAGTGTTTGCAGTCGAGTGGTCCATCTCACGATCATATGGTAAGTCTCACTTGCATAGTGTACATGAAAAAAGATTCTTTTTTTTTGATAGTATACTGCAAAAAACTCGTAGCTTAGTATTTATTGCAAGGTAGATTTTTTTGCATATGCATATATTTTATATGAGAAAATCTTTTCTTTCGATCTTCTTTCTCAGAAAATTACTGGTTTAGTCTTGTCTTGGTTCCCATCTTGCTTCCGTGTGTCAGTCTTCCATCATATTTTGTATGTTGGCTTCGGCTCTACTGTTGAAGCTGAAGTTCGGTACTGGACTATCTGGTCCTTCTGGTTCATCAAAAAGAATTAGATATTGTGGGACGTCCAGTTGTTGTTTTATGCAATTGTCTAGGAACTCATGGACTTCAGCCAACTGTTGTTTAATTCTTTTGTAGGATACTTCAAAATTTGCTATGAACAGTTTTCTACCGTCCGTAACACTGAACCAACTTTCATCATTTTAAATTAAATTTTTGGTCTGTTGAGCTTCATTTTTCATGATCTCAAGGTTTTTTGTACAGTAGTTTTCTGTGTCAAAATGTATTTTATCGGCTTCATCCTAGTTTAATGGAGTTTTGGAAAAGAAATGGGTTCAGATATTATTTGTTTTTTGTTCAGGTTTTTTACTTCGATCAATAGTTCCTTTGTTTTAGGATCTAGATCTATCTCAATAATTTTTCCTAATTCTGAGATATTTCCATCTATTTTTTCTAATTTTTGTAAGATCATATCTTGATTATATATATAT